TGTTATTACACTCTTGTTGGTTATTAGGCTTAACAATGACTGTATTTGTGGGTTTTAATACTGGTGATTGTTTTTTTATGTACATGTTTGTAATGGTACGCATTGCTGCTTATATTCTACCATTTTTGTAGGCGAATTAACGGTTGAAGGCCCTGAAGCTTTAACCATATTAGCGTAAGTTGTAATTGCTTCTTGTGACGGCTGTTGCATTTTCCCAAATTTTTTATTTAATTGGTCTATCTTTTCGTACAATTCTTTTATTAATTTCTCTTGAATCGAAATGGTATAATCTTTTAGTTTCAAAACTTCCTCTGTACAAAATCCCTTTTCACTCAGTGAGACCACACTCTCCACTTCCTCACTAGCTCCATCCTTTTTAGAGTTTTCCTCCATATTCAAACTAAAAATTCAGGAATCTCCTAGAAACCTTTTTTAGCTTGACATAATTTTTGACATTAGAAGTCAAAAAAGTATTTCCAGAATTAATTTTGTGCAATCTCTTCCGTGTGGGATCTGCAGCTGCAAACAGGTGTGGCGATATATATATTTCGGGAGGTAGAAGTTTCTGTCTCAGTCATGTGTTCTCTTTGTATTAAAATTGAAAAAGCTGCGAAATTAGAATTATCCCTATAACAGAGGACGATTATCGAAAGTTTGTAAGCTTTCCAAAAGAAACATTAAAAGCACACCATACTTCCCCCCCCTGGAGAAAGGAACATTCACGCGGTCCTTAGGGGAATAATACCAACAACTACGAAGGAATGTGAAGTGAAGGAAGTCATATTGTACGCCATATCCCAGGTGAATGAAGTACGTACAAGAGAACCTCACGCATAATTATGTGTCCACTTACAGATCACGATGCCAGAAGCTGTGCAAACTGCGGCCAAAATCATCCAGCAAATAGCTCATGCTGTAATTTTGTCCTCAGAAAAAATATTGAACCTTTCAAAAGCGGTGACAGAGAGTTACTACACTAAACTCAAATACAACTTGTGCTGCTGGTGTCTCTTCCAGCAATACAAATTCGGACACTTCGCTTCACTTTAATGATTTAGCAACTGTCCTGAAATCGCTTGAACAGATTATAGCTCTGCGTCTGCACGCAACACAAGCCCTGAAGGCTGTCTTTCAGGAGCCAGTAACAGGGCCATAAATGCCTAGTGATACAAGGCGGTCATCATTGTTAAGAATTCTATTCTGGGATGGTTGTGGGATATAGGATATCCGCAAAAAACGTGAATTTCATCAAGTCCTGATTGATGGATGTATAGATGTAGCCATGTTACAAGAAACCTTGGCGACATAAAATCACCAATGTGGAGGTACAGAGCATCGAAGCAGCTTCTGTGGTGTTCAATATGGTGATGGCCATTTATCTGAAGCTCACATCAGTGTATGGGTAGTTCTCGGCTTCAAGAGGTGGAAGTTCTGCCGGACCGAGTTCCGACCGCAGTGCTCCACTGGATCTAAACTGGTGGACGGTTGCTTTGCAGCATGGACAATTTTACCCAAGAGATATCGAATTGCGGTAATAGGAAGGTTCTTGACCACCTCTTTGAGAATGCGTACAGGATTCGACCTGTATATTTCTTTTATTTATCCACTTATAAAGGGTGAGCAAGAGAAGTCATGTGTTTAGCAAATTTTGGGACTATCTCAGATTCTCAATGTTTAATCTTTCTATGCATCTTTTGATCTTTGGACTATTCTAAAAAAAGTTGTATCTCAAATTTTTCGGAAGTTGGCTATAACTCAAATTATCGAATTTTTAACTAACCCCAATAAACGTCTTTCGGCTCGACCTCGTGTCTTTTTTTATTACCCTCTCCATGCAAATGACGTTTCTCCGGTTTCATCCTAACTATCCTGACCTCAAACATGCAATTGCTAAGTAACAATAATATTAACTGTAGACTTGACAGAATAATTTGATTTTCTTAAAAATGCCTCGTCTTTTTCAAAAAGAATGATAGAATTGTATAAGATTGTTGGGTGAAGGTCGTTTGGTAAATCTTGTAGCTTTAATTTATAATATTGGTACTCAGTATACCATTTAAGGCCTAAATATCAGGATACCGGGGAAACGTCAAACTTGCATGGAGGAGGTGAACCAAAAAATACGAGGTCAAGCCGAAAGACATTTATTACAGGAAGTAATTCCAAGGAGGACCCTTTCATCCAGAACCTTGAATGAAAACTTACGGCGGCAAAATGGAATAATAGCACCCAATCGTACTGTAAGAAGAATTTTAAATTCTAATTTGTTAAGGTATGTAAATGTTATATAAAATTTGCTAGGTACTTCTTTATCGTAGCATTTCTTGAACAATCATAGAGTCGCCAGGTACCAATTGGCACAGGAGCGGCTAAATTGGTATTGGCAGTGGCAAATTGGATGTTTTCTGATGAAACAGGCTTCAACCTATACCAATCTGATGAAGGCAAGCTGGGGAACGATATTATAAAGAAAACATGGCTCCACAAGAGGCGTTTGGTGGAGGTGGCATTACTGTTTGGGCTGGAGTTATGAACAATGATAAATCCGAACTTTTTATTTCAAACAGGACAGTCAAAGCTGCAGTTTGTCAAGACAACATTTTAAACAATATTGTTGTACCTTTTGCACAAGATTTTGGGGAGGATTTTGTCTTATCGATGATAACGCTAGCTCGCACAGAGCTCGGGCGGTTATAAGCTTCTTGGCAGAAAATTATAATACACTATTTATTGCCTCTGCCATCAAAGTCTCCAGACCTAAACATAATTGAGCATGTGTGGTCTCGGCCAAAATGTTTAGTGCCGTCAAGACAAAATGCTCCTCAAGCAATGGAAGAGCTGTCTGAGACCATTCAGGAAGAGCGGAAACGTATCCAGAGATTTTATTAATTACGTTCTGGAAAGTATGCCACGAAGATGCCAGGCTGTGATCGATGTGTCATAAATAAATAATTTAGGTATTTAACTGGTCTTCAAATTTTTGTTTTCTAAAATATTGCCTATTGCTAATGTTAATCATAAAATTATTTGCTTTGGTGCTACGCTACTGGAACACATCCCTATATTAAGAGTAGTCAAATTTATAAATTCGGCTTGAATTATACAGGGTGTTTGGTACATCATTTGCCAAATTGAAATGGTGGACAGAGGAGGTCTTTTCTATCACCCCAGGTCCCTCAAACAGTTTAGTCCAACGGAATTAATTATGTAGATTTTTTAATTTTTTTTAGTAAAAACTCCAAAATGTAATACTCAAAGTGAAATAAAAAAAAATAAAGAGTATGTCCACCTAATGATAAATTTATCTTAATGGGTGATGTTGTACCAATCTTACAAAATCAACATTACTTGCCAGCAGCATGTAGTTTTTTATTTATAAGCTCACAAAGGGTTACAAAGAAGAACAAAAAAATGTAAGTCTCAATTTTGAATTTCTGTAAAAAAAAACTAAAAGCGTTCACGTTCTTAGAATTCTTTTAAAAACTACTCTAGTTTATTCCGATTTTAACGGTGTACCACAGGTCACAAAAAAGTATAACTAACTTATTGAATTTGCAAATTTGTGTACAGGGGAAGGAAAATAAAAAAACGTGTAAAATCAAATTTCAATCATTTATTCTTTTTTCTGTTTCACAAATGTTGTTCGAATTGTTGTCCTCTATTGCGTATGCACGCACGACACCTTTGTCTTATATCGACGGTTGTCGTATGTAGGCGAATTTCTTGCCGAATCGTACCAAACCCCTCTTCTATTCTTCGGATCAACTCCTTCCTTGTTCCAACTTCTGTCGCGTAGGCGAGTGCCTTTGCACGTCCCCAGATGTAGAAATCCAATAGAGATAGGTCTGGGGAGCATGCAGGCCATGGAATAGGACCATCTCGTCCAATCCACGCATTCGGAAAAACATCATTTAGATGTTCCCGCACAATTAGCCTCCGGTGTGCAGAACAGCCATCATGTTGGAACACAATTCGTCTGTCGCCATTGAAAATTGACACCTCATTCACCAATTCGGGCAACTTATTTTGCAGAATGTAGACAATTATCTCCGTTAAGAGGATCTGGCAAATAATGTGGCCCAATCACATGATTGCCAATTACTCCTGCCCAAACATTCACACTGAATCTTCTCTGAAAACAGCTTGGCCTCTTTACTCTTGGGTTCTGATCTTTTGAAGCCCAATGGTGCAGATTGTGCAAACTTAGTATCCCTTCCTTGGTGAATTTGGACTCATCCGTCCACAGAATACTTGTCAATAAGTCTGGATCGTCCACGTCTGTGTGCAGCAAGAAACGACAAAGCCGGACTCTGTTGTCGAAGTCATTGTTTTCAAGACCTGCAATCAAAAAAACACGGGTAACATTAGTTTGCCGCCGCTACATGCTAAATAAAAGCGATAAGAAGTTTCCATTGCAGACAGTTGTAAGTGTGATAAAAAAATTACTTACCTTGTACAGGACTGTAGTGGAAGGCATGTTTATTATTCTGGCGAAGTACTTTCCACACTTTCCAAATTGAAATTCCCAGTGATGAAGCTACATTTCGGATGCTTTGAGTAGGATCTTCCTCGACAAGTGCTAAAATCCTCTCATCGATGTCAACATAGAGCCGTATTCATAAAACAAAGGATATCCTTGTACTTGAAAATTTTGAAGGAAATCCTCCAGATGGTATTTATACTAATTTGAAGTAAATGCTTTTGCTTTTTGAGTATAAGCATATCCTTCAAAGCAGTGACATAAGTAAAAGGATATTCATAATCTTCACCTTACTTGGCATAGAAAGCATATCCTTCAAAAAGTGTGGTCAGTAGCAGACTCAACTTCGTAACGAAAGGTGCTCAAAGGATGATGGCGGAAATTGTGGATGTTAAAACGTACAAACCTCGTTTACCTTCAATTATATCTGTTCGACGAAGTATATGTATAATGGCTTGCGGACAGATTTTTAGTTGAGGATGAGGAAACTCGAGGAGGAGCACTTTCATGTATTCATAAAATGAAGATATGTCTATGCTATCTCGGTGTCCCTGAATATCAACAAGGTATTGCTCAGGAACTTGGTGTTAGTCAAGCAACGGCATCTCAGACTGTGGATAGAGTTGTGAACAGCACAGTTGCACAGTCGAACGAATGGATCAAGTTTTCAACTACCAACCATGAACTGATGGAGGCCAAGCGGATATGGCAAAGCATGTATATATTTCCGACAGCAATTGGTGTAATTGATTGTACACATATAGGAATCCTGAAACCAAATCGCCATAGAGACGAGTATATGAACCGAAAAGGGACACCAACTTTAAATGTGCGAGCCACTTGTGATGCCGGAGAGATGTTCACAAGTGCTGATGTCAGTTGGCCTGGATCAGTGCATTATTCTAGAACATGGAGAAATTCACAGACTAGATCACAACTAATAAATAAAGCAAATGTTATGCTACTTGGCGATAACGGTTATGGCATTGAGCCATGCCTTATGACTCCCTTCAGAAATCCTACTCTAGGTGCAGAAATAAATTATCATAAGCTTTTAAAACAAGAAAGAGATAACTGAACGCTGTTTCGGCCAACTGAAACGCCGGATTCCTATCCTAAGTATGTTTGCCGCGTAAGTTGGAAAATGTGCCGAAAATAATTATTGCTTGTATTGTACTCCATAATGATGCGAAGAGCTTTGGCGATCCTGAATTTGAGTTAGTTGAACAAGACCCAGATGAAGATGAAGGAAATCATGAGAATGACGAACTGCCTCTCCGCCAACTAGGTCAACAAATAAGAAGAAACTTGAGTATTATAATAAATAGTTTTACTGATTAAAATGTATTTATAAGTTATAATAAGGTTTATTTTCATGAACATCATAAGTTACAGGTGGCTTCTGACGCTGCATCATTTCTAATTTCGTTTTATACTACTCTTGTTGTAAAATACTTGTTTGGTACTGCTGTAATAGCACTAGATGTTGCGGTTCTTTTACAGTTAACCCTTTGGTTTCCTCAGTTTCGTATTTATCTGTTGCTAATTTTCTTTTTGGTGGCAATGTCTTCTGAATTGCTGGCGCTGTAATACTAACTGTTTGCTCACAGTGCTCGATATATAATCCACTTCCTTCTTCTTGAACACTACCAACCTGAATGGCACCTCTAATTTTCCGAATTGTAGTCACCTTCCATAGCTTTCAGCAACTTTCTTTTCCCAATCTAACAGTTGCTTTATTACCATTTTTTTAGATCTGTTTTTTTCTTCAATCTTGATTTCATATTGTTGTTTTTTTAATAAGCATTTATTATCTAATGGTTTACCGAATGTTGATTCGCATTTTTTCAACATCTTCTTCAAGGGATCGTCCTTTCTCATTTTTATTTTTGGAACTTGTGACTTTTGCAAAATAATGGGAGCAATGGCAATTCCATCTGCGATGAACTGCAGGTCATTGCCATTATTTTCTATAGTTTCCTCATCACTTGAGGATGACATGCTTATTAATTTGATAAAAAACTGTATCCAGTAAAAATACGGAACGGTGTGTGTAAGCTCTGGAGTACAACTGTCAGTGATGCTGCGTGAACGAACTCTCACGTCAACTACAAGCTGGAACAAGTCAGGACATGTCGCTCAAGATACAAATACCAGTCAACCTTTTAATTCTCCTTGGAGGATATCCTCGAGAGTATAAGGTGATCATTATGAATATGAAAACAAGGATATGCTTATACTTCTACCTTTTTCTCCGAAGCAAGACCTCATACTTTTACCTTATGCTTCCGAGGATATGCTTCTCTTTTATGAATTAATACGGCTCATTGTGTCGCACTACGGCACCTTTTGGTATATTATTGCTCACAGTACCGGTTTCTCGTAAGCGTCGATAAGTGTTTTGGAATGTGTGGCGAGTAGGTACATGACTGTTAAGGATAGTGCTCTTGGTAGATTCTTTGCGCTGCTCGTGCAACACATTTGGGTTGTCCGAACACCAACAACATGTCTGCATACTCTTCATTTGTAAATGCAGCCATCATCAAAACCGAACTCTACGAAAACTGACAAAAAAACAACAGTCACAGGTCGCGACACTACGTAGAAGTGAAAAGCGTTAGGCAGACAGCAGGGACGAACCTCGATGGAAAAATACATGTAGACCCACGTCATCCCTGTCGGTTAGCCGCCGTGTACGAGGGAGACAAAAGTGTTTACCTGAGCTACGTTGTACACGTGTAAATTACACAACAGAAACAGAAATTCATTGTTATTGTCCGACCGAAAAGATTAGACCCTGTACACAAAATTTGCAAATTCAAGAATTTATTTCAACTTTTTTGTGACTTGTGGCATACCGTTGAAATCGAAATAAACTAGAGTATTTTTTAAAAGAATTCTAGGACATGAACGATTTTAGTTTTTTTTTAAGAAATTCAAAATTGAGTTATACATAAAAAACTACATGCTGCTGGCAAGTAATGTTGATTTTGTAAGATTGGTATAATATCACCCATTAAGATAAATTAATCATTAGGTGGACATACTCTTTATTTTTTTTTATTTCACTTTGTGTATTACATTTTGGAGTTTTTACTAAAAAAAACTAAAAAATCTACATAATTAATGCCGTTGAGCTAAAAACTATTTGAGGGACCTGGGGTGATAGAAAAAGACCTCCCCTGTCCGCCATTTCAATTTAGCAAACGTCAAAGTAGCAAATTTTTACTGCACGCCACTGGAGGCAATAACGTTCAATGAGTGCTTCTATTTTTTCTCGGCCGCAAGGAATTCTACTTTATACAACAGTATGAGAAGAAATATCCATTCTGAAGAGATACCCTAAAAAGGTCCCTTTTTAGGGATAAATGCAACACTTTTTTAAAATTCGACAATTTGAGTTATAGCCCACTTTGGAAAAATTGGAGAAATTACCATTTTTTGTGAGAGACCAAAGATCAAAAAGATGCATAGAAACATTTCCAAGATAAAAATTGAGAATTTGACATAGCCCCAAACTGCTAAAAGAAACTTGACTTCCTTTGCTCACCCTGTATAAATGGGAAAATAAAAAAACTATACCGATTGCACCCTGGTCAAGTTGGTCAAGAATCTCTTGAATACCGCAACTCGATATCTCTTTCCGTTCCGAAATTATCGAGATTTGAATTTGGGTAAAATTTTCCATGTTGCAAAGCAACTGTGTCCACGAGTTCATTTTCAAAAAGTATAAAGCAGTTTCGTCCTTGTCATAATAGCTAGTAGTCTTGTATCATGATTTCGTCAAATTTCGACCGATGCTTTCCAAGTTATAGCGAGGTCAAGGATTAGCGGACAGACAGACAGACCGATGGAAATGGGTGACATGTTTTCTCGTGATGTACCTACATGTTATAATATAACATCAAAAAATATGTCTCATTTTCGCGAATACAATACGTTCTCGCCAGTGGCGTAGAAAGTAAAAGCACAACTTAGATAACAATGAAGCTGTCCTGTCAGTGTCAAAAACGACTGTCATTCCGGCGGAGAAAGTCGAATGTAAATTCCCCCAGTACAACGATAAAAGGGGTTTTAGTACTCAGCAACAGCCGGTGTTGCCACGTACCCTGCCAGCGGCCGCAGATATTGTAAAAAAATACTATTCCGATATAATCTAGTGTAGTTTGTGTGAACCAATAATAAAAAGGGCAACGTTTGTCCAAAAAGAAGCGACGAAGTATTGATGACTATTTATTTATGGAAAAGTTTTAAAATGATGAGTATTGGTGGAAGTATATACAATAAACAGAAAAATATTGACTTTTGTAATGCATTCTTTGCTGCTGCGATATTCACAATCCATTTCATTTTCAATGTAAATACTCCTAAAGCATCACAATCAAACCCGTCACTTCTGGCAACTCCTCAGCTAGGATGCTTCTACGAGTTCTTCATGTGTAAGTGGTCGGTAGTTCCGATATTTTAAATACATAGAAAATATAAAAATTGTAGGCCAGTATACGCTCCATACTTGGAAAATATGCCGCTCTCCACAAGATGATTAGTAATTACATGACAACCGATACACTTTTTGAATGGATTTGTTTAGAATGAGCGAAGAATAAAAAGATATTCATGCAAAATGATTTGGTTTTACTGATGAACAATGTTTCTCAAACACCAAAACCTCTTTCATCCCTGTCCTAGCGGAATTTACATGCTATTTTCTCCACCAAAATGACAGCCGTTTTTGACTCTGACAGGGGAGTTTCATATCTGATTGTTATCTAAGCTGTGGTGACAGTTTCATACCCTGTGGGCTTGTGTGGCCTCTTCAATATAGTGAGTAGTAATGATGATACTTGTGTTTCTTTTTTTTACATCTTGCACCATATAGCTCCAAATATTGGCTCTCAGGATTGGATCTACTCCAACAGTCGGCTCATCCAGAATCAAAAGGTCTGGGGCATGCATTACTGCAACTGCTAGAGACACTCTCCTTTGTTGACCTCCGCTAAAAAGCATGTTGAAATATTTACAAGTTGGTACAAACCCAGGTACAAAAATACTTTGTTGCCATAATATGGGATATTTAAACACTTGTCTGTTTTTACTAATTCACTTTGCATTTTTCGAAAACATATTAGAATATGGAGATGAATTTTGATACGTGCAAATGCCAGCAAGTCTCTACGTTTAGCGAGAAAAAAGGAGGCTACTGGTTTATACAAAAAGTCAATATCAGTAAAGTCAGACTGGTTCTAAATGAAAACTGCATCTTGAAAATCTTCACTCAAACGCACCGTACATAAAATAAGGATTATTAATATAACCAGATCAGCAATGTGTTTATCGTTATTATTAAAAAAATAGCGTCAAGTAGGTTGAGACCGCGCTTCTTACACACCGCTGCCAAAATAAAGGATTATATTTGGCCCAAGTTAGTCCCTCAATGGAAAATGTTGGCTACGAATATGTATAACAAAGTAATTAAATGTATCATGTCAGTCAAATAAGCTCATACAATTAGTCCATAGTCCCACAGATTCGATAGCATTACGATCTATACACTATTCGTGGTCCATTTACGCCCCGGCACAACAAAGATGCAGCGCGGCAAAGCGGCAGTCGCATAAGCGTTGCAATAGCTATTGGTCATTCGGCCATAAAAACTAGGAACAAGTGCAGGATTCGACAGGATAGAGCTCACGTTCGGGTTATCACCGGCAGTTCGGTGCATACATAGCGTTTGTTTATACGTTACGGATACAGCAGATGAAACTGAGAATATTTCTCAAAATGCTACCTCTAGCCATGCTTCTTCTTCAGTGATGTCTCATCCCTGAAAACGTGACATGACGGGACATTTGAATATTCAGGCAAAAGAAATTGACCTTAACGTTTATAAGAGCGAAATTTTAGAGCATCCTGAAATAAAAATTCATGATATTGAACGACGTGTGGCGAACAGAACAGGCTTATGCCCTAAGGTAATTTCAACATTGTTGAAGGATATAAAAAAAAACAAAAAAATTGTCTCCACTACACAAGAGGCTGCATTACAGGAATAACAGTTGACAACTTTGATCGGAATACCATCAGACGCAAAGTCCATCAATTTTTTGAAAGGGAGGAACTGCTCACCATAGA